ATAGATAAATGAAAGCTCCATAAATAAATAAATAAATATTAGAAATGTTAACAAAATTGTTAAAAGATAAATTTACCCTCCATAATTTGTGAAATTTCACTATATTGCTTTAATTATGTTAAGGGTTTAAGGGCCTTTAAAATGATACATCCACCAAAAAAAAAAGTGTGAAAAGGCACACAAAACCTTATATATAACAAAAAAAAAAAAAAAAAAAAAAAAAAAAAAAAAACTTTTTTAACAATTACCAAATGTAGAACTTTTTTATATCCAAAAAAAGCAAAAATAAATAAATAAATAAAAAGCAATTTTCAAACTCATCTTATCTCCTCAACCTTAAAACAGTACATTTAGATATCTCAATTATCAAATTATTTCACTTTCAACCCTTCAAGAAAAAAGGCTTTTGTACAATTTTTAATAATTGAGGGATTTAAATGTGCAATTTTAAAATTAAATAAACAAGTGTTTGCACAAAAATTGGCTAACACAGGAAGTTTGGGTGCTAAGACAGAGTATTGCCGACGTGAAAATTATGATTTGTCTTCTAACTTTTTCCCAGTAGATTATATAAGACCTAAGGGGACAAAAGCCTTTTAGTTCTTTGCTTGCCAGAACTTAAAATCTCTTAAGTGTTTGTAATTTGGATAACAAGGAATTGCCAAATTTTATGTACTCAAGTGGATTGAACATATAAAATGACAAGAAACAAGTTTAAATAAAGTGAAATTGAGTTACAACCGATTGTAAACACAATTAAAACAAAACAAAACAAAACAATCACTGATGACCAAAAACAACCTAAAATGACATGGATGTCAAAGTGGAACTGATGCCCAACAAACTAAATTATGGCACTGATGCCTTTCATGACAAACTAATGCTAGAGACTAGAGCTATGTTGACACTAGTGTTAGATTGAGTGTAATTTTAAGATGTGTTGGTCTAGATACCATTTGGTTGACTCAAAAATGACTTTTATAGTAGCTGCCATCTCTGGATAGCTAGGAATGATCTCCTGAAAATTCTCAACTACTTTTGTTGGTGGGTTGCTATTATGACTCCTTAGGCGCCAGTGTTACAATCAATCCTCCTTTAGCTTCCATTTTTGGAGTGCTCCTTAAGAATATGGACTGTTTAAACCTTCTCATGATCTTAGCCATTGGGTGGTAAGTGATGGGCCCTAGATGGTTGCCTAGTGTCCAATTCAGTCAAAGCACATCCCTTAAATATAGTAACTGTTAGGGCATTCAAAATGTGACCGTTGGATGAGAAAAATAGTGGAATCCTTTTTCTCCACGCCACAACCTTCAAATATGAGTAATGATACAAAACTAGTGATGTGACAAAACAAAAAATAAAAATACATATCAAAACATCACATCACATAATGGGACCTGTGTTCTCTCTATAGAATTTTTCCTCTGGAGCTCTCAAACATTTTCCTTCAACTATATATATCCATATATAGGCCTGCTGCTCCTACATGATAGGGATCTAATTAGTCATGGGATTTAATCCTCCATCATCCCCTAAATAATAGGGGCAATTATTGATGCCTTCTTGGCTTGATAAAATGACACAGTTTCATTTACACAATCGTCACGTGGCACTTTCTTATTGAGTTGTAATTTTTTTATCCAAACAATACGGTAATATTTAAGTAAACGTGATTGAGACCCCCACTTTCTCCCCACCCCCACCACTCTCACACACACGTGGGGGTTGGTTATTTGAAAAAAAAAAAAAATTGCTGACCAATCAGACCCCACTGGGGTCCCGGGGTCACCCCCAATGGAGGTCTGAAACATTTTTGATATTTGAGATATAAAGTGTAATTAACCCTTAAAATAACACAATTGTGATGAAGAAGGATGGCTAATTCTCTTTGTCCATGGCTCGCAAAAGGCATTCAAATCCTAGAGTGCTTTTGTTTTCAGCCTGACATGTTGTCAACTTAACAACCAACAGTCAAAATTTTAAAAGCTCCAAAAAACGCTGTGTTTTGATGTAGTTCAGAAAAGAAAAGAGGATAATGTTAACAAACTAGAACAGAGAGAAATGAACTAAGACGAACAAGGAGAGAAACAAAAATTAAAGAGACGCAGCTAAGAGAGAAGAATGAAGCCCTCCACCATCCACAGGAAACCGAAGTAGAACTAGCCGAACAATATGAAATCTGTCTTAGTGCTGCATTGGAGCTCATGGGTAGGGAAGTTGGTGGAAGGGAGTTGCTTGGGTTCACAAAATCGGACTAAAAAATTTATTTGAGAACCAAGAGGCAATATGGGGAGGCCTGTAGTGTGTTGCAATTTTTCGTGAAAAAACATTAGCGAATCCAACTTTTCTTTTTTTACTTGGTTCAATTAGATAATGAGGAGATCATTAACATATTGAGTTGATGCTCACATGACCATAAATTATAAACAGTTTGGTGATGTAGTTAGTTTTTACACAACCTACAAGTTAAATAGTGAACATAGTAGGGAAGTTGGTGGAAGGGAGTCGCTTTGTTCACAAAACTGGACTAAAAAATTTATTTGAGAACCAAGAGGCAATATGGATAGGCATGTAGTGTGTTGGAATTTTTTGTGAAAAAACATTGGAGAACCAACTTTTCTTTTTTTACTTGGTCCAATTAGATAATGAGGAGATCACTAACATATTGAGTTGATGCTCACATGATCATGAATTATAAACAGTTTGGTGATGTAGTTATTTTTTACACAACCTACAAGTTAAATAGTGAACATAAACCATTTGCTTCTTTCATTAGATTAAATCATCGTTGAGAAACAATTGTATCTGACACGGTTTTAATGTATGCTGAGGTTGTTGATTCTTTCATATGACTTTTTAGAACATTCTTGGAGGTGATGCCAAAAAAGGCTTCAAAAACAATTTTTATGAATTAAGATGCTGCAATAACTAAGGTCATACATGGTGTGACACTTGACACCAGCCATTGTCTTTGCACGTGGCATTTGATACAAAATGCATGAAACCACATAAATTGCATCTTCAAGGATAAGAGTGTCAAGAGTGTTTTTTCAAAAATTTTATGACATTGAGAATGAAAAAGAGTTCACATAAGCGTGGGAAGAAATACTTGATAAGTATTAAGCGATGTTTTGAAAACCGGACACGACCAGTTCGGTTGACCCGTCAACCGAACCAAGTTCCGATCTGGATTAACCCTCAAACCCGAACTAGCTTGAGAACTAGCCTTTTTAAGTTAAACTGGCCAAACTCGCAATTAAATTGGTAACCAGATTGAAGCGAAACGGACTAGTTTGTTATATATGGTCCAATAATGAAAAAATTAATGCTACAAAGAGTTGAATTTAGCACCCCAAGCTCTAAAGAGCATAAATTTCCACTATGCCACCAAGACTCCTCGTTAATATATATGATATATACAATATTTATTGTTTTCAAAGTAATTTCTTTCAAACACATGTATAATTAATATTTTTATAAACAATATTAATATAAAAATTAAATATAAACATAAAAATTTGATAAATATATATCTTAAATTATAAAAATATTTTAAATGAATGTATTTTATTTATTTTTAAATTATAAAAATATTTTAAAAAAAAATTATTACGTCATTTCAATTCAACTCGGCAGTTGAATCGATGGCCTGTCTATCCGATTCTTTTTTCGATTCATTCACCGATTCGATTTTTAAAACATTGGTATGAAATGTAAGATAATCATTGGTTGAAGTTTGACATTTGGGGTAAAGAAAAAATGAGATTGACCGCATGTGAGATCATCATCAGAGGGTACAAGAATGAGTAACACCCACCTTAGTGAATCATTTAAATGCTTTCTTAAAGAATTACATTCAATCTGGTCATTAATTGTTGTAAATTTTCATACATTTCGACTGGGTTCTTTTTAATAAGCGGGTACAAGCTAAAAGCGAAATATGCTTTTTGCCAAGAGTTGTTAAGAGTGAAAATAGATGTGAATATGTTGAAGAAAGCAAGGGGGATCTTTACATCAAAAATAATTTTTAATGAATTTGAAAAAAAGTATGTCAAGTCATTGAAGCAAGCATAGAAGACACTGGACATAACGGTAAGACTATTGTATACACAATTCTTGATGAAATGCATTTTGTGTAATCATTGTTTGAAGGTGCTTAGAAAAATTAATAAAGTATATAAGAATTTCCTTCACAATATATGCTCTAAAAAGGGGACAAAAAACGAAAGAATCAAAAATGTGAAATACAGTTATGAAAATGAACATTTACCAAACAGTTTTATTAATTAAACTTATTTAACAAGTCCTGATTTATCCCCAAAAAAATTACCTATAGGTCCTGATTGATGAATTTATCATTGTATATTCATTCATAAAAACAAGAGAAACTGATAAATTTATCAAAATTTATCACCTGATAAATTTATCAAAATTTATCACCCGATAAATTTATCAATAAGACTCGATGGATAATAAATCCTAAAAATAGAACCAATTAGTAATTTATCCTCGTGAAAAACCTCACATTATAGATCATTGATGGCCATATTTAGAACAATAACGTGTAGAACTTCTGAGAGTGAAGAAACACATAACTTGACAGTAGTTAAAGCAGATGAATTAAGTCCAAGCATTGAAAGGGCGTGAAACACAATCAATACTCAGCTTTATGCAATAATATTCACACGATCTCGTCACAGTTCAATTCCGCTGGGATTGAAAAAAAAAAAAAAGTTCTAGCACCAAATTGAATTTTTCAATTCTGTTGGTTGTGGAACCGAAACAACCATATACTAGAGTTCGATTATAGGTTCAGCGTAATGTCAAGTTGAACAAGCAATCGAGAATTGCGTTCCCTTTCTAATCCATTTCAAACAATGAAATCACATGAAAACTCATAATCACATTCCCATTTCCCTCAAAATTCATGTCATTTAGATTGGGTACAACAATTATGGGAAATCACAGCTATTCAAGGTTTTATGCCACACATGCATGCCTTATCAAATAGGTTGAAACTAATTCAATTTGTCAAACGATAAGGATCAAGTAACAATAATCACAATAAACGTCCCCTCAAATTAGTAAGATGGATATCAATCAACTCGATATTTAACAAAACCAGAAAACCCATCATAATTAGATTATGAAAAAATTACATTACAGCTACAGCAGCTCCATCCACAAATAGGTGAACTATATACATGGAAATAAGTTCATATTGGGAAACCATACTAACAACAAAATTTTGTATAACTATTACCCATTAGCCAGAGAGTGAGATCTTGTTCATGAGAAAGTACCTCAATAGACTTCCAAAGAACGCGGGAGGGACGTAGAACCACCACCTGCTACTCTTACCCACAAGGGGTGAGCTTCTTATTGCCTGCACCTCGAGGATTGTCATCTTTCCAGTCATCCCATGCCCTTGCCTTATCTTGGGCAGCATCATCATCTTCATCTTCTTCTTCACCTGGCCTCGACTTCCGATTGTCCTTGTACCATGACGAATTGGCTTCTTCCATGAGCTTGGCATTTCTCTCCTGAAATTTATTCATAATCTCCATCTCCTTTAAGCCAGCTTCCTCGATGCTCATGGTTGGCAATCTATTTATTCCACATAAATAATAATAAAATTAACTAGGACTTCAACTTTCCCTTTGAACTGCTTAATTATTTGTTTATCAAGGTATGAGAAAATATACCTGTAACTAGGTTGGAAAACCTGCGCTGCCATCCTTTCCCTTTCACTTGTTGGCTTTCCACCCACAAGACTCGCTGGCCCAAATATCATAGGCTGGTGTTTGTGTTCATGTGCCTGTGAAACCTTTGCTCTCCCTTCTATAACATCTTGAGCAAAAGTAGCACATGTAATTGGTTGTGCCGGTCTCGTATAATGAGCTCGATCTGCAGCATCACGATGCCAGGCTTCTGCTCTCTTGGTGCGCTTATCAAGAACCTGTGAAATATCCTTGTCCCCTTCCTGCAAAGAATAGAATATCATTGACAGCACCAGGATTTGTGTGTATTCTGACTGTAAATTACCAAAAGAATTGGGTTGTTCCCTCTCACCAGCGCTGCTGTGACATCACCACCACACAACCCATGGCTACATCCCCTCTCATCGAAGCACTACCATCATCACTCACGACTTTCTCTTGGCAACACATAGTCACACACGCATATATATATACATATATAAACCGGCAGAAACATTCACCACAGGGTGCTCACAAAATGATTTTCTAACAACTTCATTCAAATAAATTATTGATTAATGTATAGTTGCGGTAATCTCACCAGTTTCCAACCAAAAAAAAAAAGAGAGAAATTGGTTTGAACTTTAAACTTGAAGAGACATTCCAGTAAAAGTATGTCAATCAAGGCTTTTATAATGCCAATAGCAAAATAGTTTGACAACATTAACAGCATTGACAGGTTAAGTGGAGGGAGAAAAATAGAAGAGAGATTCTTTGCATGAACTCGGTAGTAAACAGCCACCAGGCTCACCGCTATCCGTGTATACGAAAACACACACACATATATATAATACAACAATGGGCTTCTTGTGCTCTTCAAAAAATGCATCGCCTTGTGAAGCAAATCCGTGAAGATCCTAAGGGGTCGTGTGCAGGAAGGTGGTGACGGCTGCTTGGGGGCAGGCATGGAGTGGATGACTTGGTGTAGGAGGGGAACCATTGTATAGGGACTGGACTGTTGCCGTGATTACAGAGCAGTTGGTGCCTTGTAGTGGCTGTGTGCAGAGATGGTTGGGTAGTCCAATTTCAGAAGTTATGGTGGTGATGGCATAAATAAAAAAATTGAAGAAAAAAATTAAAGAGTAATATTGACTTTTTGCCAAAATCATTAACGTAGTTGAACTTTACACTTCACCCCAAAACACAAGGAGATTATGTGTTCAAAACCTACAAGGGTGGTTGAAGCAGCGCAGGTGGTTGTTGGGGGTGGTCGGAGTTGCATGGTCTTCATCTTTCACGCGTTTCGGCAGTTGCTTGGGGTGTTTCGTCAGTGTTCTTGGGTGGTCGGAGCAGCACAGGTGGTTGTTGAGGTGGTCGGAATTGCGTGGTCTTCATCTTCCACAAGTTTTGGTGGGTGGTCAGCGGTTGTTGGGGTGTTTTGGCGGTGATCTTGGGTGGTCAGAGCAGCGTAGGAAGTTGTTGAGGGTGGTCAAAACAGCATGGTTTTCGTCTTCTATGCCTGCAGCTTGTTTTTTTGGTGTTGTGGATCAGTGGGAAACAGGCATGGGAGGCAGTGGGTTTTATTGCTATGGGTTTTCTAGGCAGTGGGTTTTTATTGCTATGGATTTTCTAGCTTTGTTTTCTGTGATGTAGTTAAGATCTTCTTAATTACTTTTTCTGTTTATTCTTTTTCGTTTTTTGTTTTATTTCTATTTCTGTTATTTTTTTAAAAAATCGTGAGGTCAAGGGGATGATTGTAGGAATGTGAGCTGCAGTAGGGGAGTTAGCACTCTTTGAATATCTCTCAATGCATTTCTTTTCCTTGTAGCTGTAATTTCATGTTTTTTATGAAATTTTCACTTTGCCGATCAAAAAAAAAAAAAAAAAAGGAGTAGAGTGTAATTAACCCAAAATTAATCCAAGATATCGAAAACGGTCACTCTTACAAATCTCTAAGTATGCCATCAGGTTTTACTATGTTTGCATCTATATTTGTACTTTTGCTTAAGATACACTCCATATATTTGTTAAAATAAAAACTTTTTATGGTCTACATGGTCTTTTTTTCATTTTCTTTATTTTCATTTTTATTTTTTGTTTTTTGTATTTACAGAGACAAAATAATGAAAGCTTCAAAAACACCCATCACTTTCATATCATTTTCATTTTTGTGCGAAAACAATTTTTGAAAATTCAGAAAACTACTTATAAGTGTTTCCTAAAAAATGGGGCGTTTTAACAAAAGTTATCTGAAAAAAAATTCTTATAACAGTTTGTCAAAGAAGCTTTCCATATCAATATCTGTGTTTTATGTTTTCAATAATAGAAAACATTTTTCGAAAATGATACTAAAGTATCTCTCCATAATTCTAGCTTAAATACATCAACTAAAACTATATCATATACAAATACAAACAACACACCTCAAGGGATAACAGTTTGAATTTTTCTAGTAGGTTCATCCATAACTAACGCCAAAAGGTAAGAATTGATATAAACCTATTGTTTATTGAAAACTCACTTGTTTCTCCACCTGCTACTACTTTCTTTCCCAAAACATCCACATTATCTCTCATAACAGTATCATATGCTTTTTCTAAATCAATAAACACCATATGAACGTTTTCGTTCTTTTTCATCAGTTGCCTAAGTAAAAAAATGATTTTCATTGTAGATCTCTCAAGCATGAAACCAAATATTAATTTCCACTCAATTACTCTCTCCCAAAGTTTCATTGTATGACTCATAAGTTTAATACCTTGATAATTGGTGCAACTTTGGATATCACCTTTTTCATAAATAAAAGACTTTATTCAAGAGGCACCAAGGGGAACTAGTGAATATTTTCAGCTACCTCAAGCTATCCATAACTATACCTGTAATTGCCTTTCCTTTATAGCAGAAAGCATTTCTTCTTCTTTCGTTAGCATTTCCAGAAGATCAAAAGCCTGCAATATGATTCCATGGCAAGATACTTTTATCAAGATAAAAAAAAACTAGACATAAGGAAAATCCCAGGCATCCAAGGAAATTATAAAGCTAACCTTACAAATAGCCAAGGAGACGGAAGTAAGCCATGCCTGCCCAAAAACAGCACTTTGATTTCAGAGAAACTCAAAATTCTCAAGATAACCAAGTATTTTGACACAACAAAAATAATTGATCAGAGCTGACAATTCTTGTGTTTATTCAAGGTACAATAATTTAAACCTTATAAATGACATCCCTCGACAAAAGCAAACGTGTAGCATAATCAAGCTTTTGAAGGAACAAAGGGAACTCATGACAGAGTGAATATTCATACTAGCCAACTTGTAGTATTATCAATCGTAACTCAAAATCAAAATAAGTTAGGTCAAGTGAAAGAGTACTTCGAGCATATTATGCAATCGGTGAATACCAACAAAATGGAAAACAAAATTTTATAGAACAGTTATAACTTATAAGGCTAATGATGTTTTATGGGACAAAATGTTGGGCAATAAAAAAATAACACGTCATTAAAATTAGTGTAATTGAGATGAGGAAACTAAAATACATGTGTTGTAGACTGGGAAAGATAGAATTACAAATTAATATATTCGTGAAATGGTAAATGTAACACCAATTGAAAATAAGTTGAGAAATGACAGATTAAGATGGTTTGATCATATATAACACCAATAGATATAATGGTAAAGAATAGTGATATGGTCACTAAAAATGTTAAGAGGGAAAGACCAAACTAAAATGGTATGTTGTTTTACTAAAATACATGTGTTTTATGTTGGTCTAACAAAGCATGCAAGTCTTGCCAAAAAAAAAAAAAAAAAATGATGTAAGTAACCGACCCCAATTGATTGGGATAGAAGGCAAGGCTTGGTTTGGTTTGGTCTGGTTTGGTTTAGTTTGGTTCGGTTTAGTTTGGTTCAACTTTGATTTTTCCTCCTAAGAAAAATCTTAAGGAAATAAATACGAAAATTTTGGGGATTGTTTTGGATCCTTACATTCACCATTTTGGAATGAGGGTGTGCCATAATTTGGAACATGCATTCCAAAATATAAATCGTTGTAGTATTTGTGTTTTTTGATAACACAAAGCTTTATACAAGTACATTGCACTAACATCATTCAATAGACACCAATTATGTTAATGGTGTCGGAGATCATAGCCCTAAACTAGCATCACATGACTCGAGGTAGCTTTAATTAGATTTCATTGAAAGAATTTTGATACGCACAAATAGTTTAGAGGCAGAGATATAACAGTAGTGTTATTGATATACTCAGTTTATAAGCTAAATTGATTATATTCTACATAACATGAAATAAAATCAAATTAAAACTAAGATATGATTTGAAATATATCTCTGGATTAGGTCCAAATGTCAAAGCCTTTCTCATAACATAATCAGTGAAGATAAAAATTGACCTCCCTTTCTTCCTCTACATCGTCATCCAACAAATCTTCCTCTGCTGCCTCCACAGGCGTAGATAAGGCAGATGCTTTAGTTGATCGTCCACGTCGCTCCTTACGCTCCTTTATTTCAAGAAGCTTGGATTCTGCAGCTCTTTGGCGTTTGAACCGAGCAATCTAAAGTGAAACAATCAGATTCAGTACTCAGTTATAAGGCTTCCAGATACATTTAATTATAAGTTGCACAAAATAATTATGACTGGCTTGAAGCTTAATGGAATTATGGTTGAAGATCACCGCTTACCTTCTTAGCCCTTCGGTCTGCAAAAGAATTTGAACCACCTTGTGCAGATGATTCTAACTCCTCTTCCGGCACAAGCTCCATCACCTCACAAAATGACATGAATTCCTACAGATGCAACCATGTTCAGAATTTTCAATAACTATGCGAAACACAACATACTTCAAGACAGAAGTTAAACTTTCTTTGCAGACATCAAGAATTAAAGAAACTGAATGTCCAAAGACTATAATTCTTTTATTTCAAGTAAACTTAAAACTATGACTTTGGCACAGAACAAAAATAACCTTTAACTTTGCCATTGAAGCTTTAATAATTTGTATCCTGTCATCCTGTGCAATTTTTTCTGTCAATTCAGCAAGATAACATGGCACCTGCAGTAAAGAATTGTAAGCATTTTCTAAGATCAAAATGTAAACAAAAATACTGATTTGAGATTAACCTTTTGTAAGACACAGACGACTTAGAAAATCTCCAACCCAAATATAGACATTATTTGTCACCCTCAATCAAATGAAATAAATAAATTAAAACTAAAAGGAAGAAACGTGAATGCATATACATCTCATGTCAAACCACAAAGAAGTATTGAGCTATAATGGTGATCAAACACAATTAAAATCAGAAAGACCAACACAAAAGTAGAATGCAAATGAAACTCACATTTTAGGCCTGTTGGGAATACTTCCAAAACAAGCCATAAAATAAACTTGCATGCATAGAAATCCCAAATGCTCTCTGTAGACACCCCATTTTGACCGACCCTAAGACTTGGGCGCTTTCTTTTGATCACCTGATGATGAAAACAAGATGTTTCTCATAGAATCCTCAATAAGAAAATAGAATTTGAGCTTTTTTTCCAATCCTAAACCTGTTTTGGCCAAGTGTTTTGATTAGGAACAAGTCGTCCCATCTCAAAAACAATCACAAATTACCTTTGCAGGAGAATATTCCGTTAGAGAGACAAATATTCTGTTAAGTTAGGGAATATTCCATCTATATGCATAATAATCTGTCAATGCTGACTGTGACGCTGATGTGGCGGTTTTGTTGACGTGGCATAACTAGATTGGTCCATGCTAATGATGTGGCGTTGACATATTTTTACCTAAAAAAAGAAACAAGAATGCTGTTGAAGGGGCTTGAACCCCCAACCTAAAACTCCACATCCTAAACCTTAATCACTTTGCCAAAGCATCACTGTGTGTTATATTTTCTTCCAAATAATATTTGACCACTTAAAACTAGTTGGTAGAGAAGGTGTATTTTTGCATTTTTTTTTGTGTATGGGATACTCCCCTACCCCATTGGCCAACCCATATATCACCAAATACATACCTAATCACCCCCATTGTCAACAAGAAATTTATTTGCATCCATCAAAGAGGGATTCAATCTAACCACCTTGAAAACTTTGCCCTCCTATCACAATCTTGTCTCCTACCTTCTCTTTGACCTTAGCTCTTCCTCATTGCCTATATACATCATCAGATTGTGTAGAGAAAAGAAAAAACCACAAAATTGAAGAGAAAAGAGTGAGAACAAGAGAGAAAAAAGAGAGAAAGTTGACGTTTTGAGCCAAAAACACTTTCATCTTCCATATACACCTTCCATGGCTTATACACACTGAAATTCCACCTTTTATACATCCAAAACAACTCCAAAAATTTAGAAATAGCTGAATTGCAGTAGTGTTAGATCAAAGGATACCTTTCGTACAAATTGAAATTCCATCTTTCCTACACCCAAAACTCCTCCAAAAATTCTAAAATAGCTAAATTTCAGTAGTGATTGATCAAAAGAAAGAGTGAGTGTTGTTGAAAGTAAGGAAAAATAAGAGAGTTAGCCACTTTTCCACCACACGTACCATCAAACATTCCCAAAGCTCCATTCTAGTTTCGAATTGAGGATTGAGAACACACTTTCTAAACTTGAGGGTGGTCAAAAAGGAAGTCTGTGAATCAAGAAGTTCATCTCTCCTTGGAAGGTGAATTTCGCACACTTTCATTTCCTTGTATTTTCCATCTTGTTTTAAGTTTCTTGTCTTGATTTCTATCTTGTTTCAAGTCTCCGGCCTTAATTTCCATTTTGTTTCTTGTCTTAATTTCATGTTATAATCTGTTGTAATCTAACTGGAAGTGATGAGTTGAATCGCTCCCATATCCTTTGTTTGTTCTAGCTTTGTTATTTTTAAACAAAACACAGTTTTGGCCTAGCCTAGTTGGCCGGCCGGCTAATTTTCTTGGATGTCCATCTTGCCTCTTTGGCTGGCCAGCCCCTTTTTCGTAGCCCACCGTGCACGCGACCTTGAGACAAAACCAAACAATCTTTCCAACGGCGAACTGAACATGTTTCCGGTGATCTCCAAGGCATATGAAGACTTTGTTTTCTTTCTATATTTTATTTTATTTTAATTTGAGAGTTGTGAGGAGTTTATATTTTTTTGTAATATTTGTTTTCTCCTCTTCTATCTTTTTATTTGGCTTTATAATATTTAAAAGTGTTGTAATAATTCTTCACTTCCACTTCTTTCTATCCCGTTATTTTATTTGCTTTCCATATCTTTAAATAAATTGATGGCTTGTGAAAAGCCAAATTATACTTCTCAAGTAGAACTGTCACTTCTCTTTTGAAATGTAAGTCATTGTCTAAAATTACTTCGTTTGGCACCCCGTATCTGCAGATGATGTTATTCCTGATGAATTTGGCCACATGGGATGCTTTTAACACTGAAAATGACTGTGCTTTAACCCACTTAGTAAAATAATCAATGGCAACCAAGATAAGCTTATGCCCGTTTGAACCCTTCGGTGTGACTTCTCCGATGACATCTATGCCCTAGACTGAGAAAGGCTAAGGCAAAGTCATGTTGTAGAGTTTTGATGGCAAGATATTCATGTGGCGTGTATTTGGCATTTATGGCATCTCCTAACAAAATCAATACAATCACTCTCCATGGTTAACCAATAATATCCCTACCTAAGGATCTTTTAGGCTCCACACTCTCCTCCATGGATGGCTTCCATAATACGCCTTGCCTCTTCTTCCTCTACGTACGCACAACTTGTGCAGTCCCAAATGCCATCTTCTATACAGCTTATCCCTGCAAATGGTGAACTGAGTAGCCAGACGTTGTATTCCCCTTTTGTCCTTGGCATTTACTCCTTGCGGGTATATACTGCTTTCCAAAAAGTTCCAAATATCAAAGTACTAGGGGTTTTCATCTTGAACCTCTTCTGTTGCAACTACAATTTCATATGCAGGTTTATATCTTTGTTTTATCAGGATTGGGCACATCTTGACCCTGACTGGTATATCTATCATTGATGCCAGAGTTGCCCACGCATCAGCAAATCGGTTGTTCTCTCTTACCAGGTGTATAAAAGTTAGTTTTTCGAACCTCGGGATCAATATGTCCAAGGTTTGATGATAGACTTTCATTTTTTCCTATTTAACTTTCCAATCTCTGTTGGCTTGAGAGACGACCAAGTTCGAGTCTCCAATCACATCCAACCTTATTGCACCTAGTTCTAGAGCTACTTCCAGTCCGGTAATTCAGGCCTCATACTGTGCTTGGTTGTTGGATACTCTAAATCGGAGTTTGAAGGCTAAAGGGAAATGAGAATCATCTGGTGTTATGAGCAACACACCTATCCCATAGCCAAATTGATTGGACGTTCCATCAAAGTACAATTTCCAAGTGTCTTCTTCTATCTGCATGACCTCCTCATCTCGGAACAAATAATCCATAGCTTCGTTTTCTTTAATCGGGTGATCAACCAAAAATTCTATGACGACTCTTCCTTTAAAAAATTTGCGAGCAACATACTTGAGGTCGAATTCAGAAAGCAAAAGCAACCAACGAGCTAGACTACCAGTAAGTTCTGGTTTCTTAAAGAGATATTTGATGAAGTCTAATCTTGAAACCAGAATTACTGAGTAAGCTAACAAGTAGTGTCTCAACGTCCTGGTGGCCCAAACCAATAGCCAAGCAAGCCTTTTCTAAGGAAGTGTAGCGGGTCTCATAGTTAAGCATCTTCTTGCTCAAGTAGTAGATGGCTTTCTCTACTTTCTCATCTGACTCTTGCGCAAGCATACATCCCATGGTTGCTTCAGTCACTGATAAATACAAAATCAGCGATTTCCTTGGATCAGGTGGCGATAACACAAGTGGATTCTGCAAATACTGCTTAACTTGCTCGAAGGCAAACTGATACCGATCATCCCAGTGGAACTTCTTCCCTTTCTTCAATAGACCAAATAGTGGTTCACAAGTCAAGGTTAATTTAAAAATAAACCTTCTTATGAATTGCACTTTTCTCAGAAAGTCCCGCACATCCTTTTCAGTTGTTGGTGGCAGCATTTCTAAGATGGCCTTAATTTTGGATGGATCAACTTCAATTCCTCGCTGTATGATCAGAAATCCTAACATCTTGCCCGCAGTTACCCCAAAGGTGCATTTCTGCGGGTTCAACCTCAGCCTGTATTTCCTAATTCTCTCAAAGAATTTCTTTAATGCGGTGTAATGGACTACTCTATCTTTGGACTTGACAATCATGTCATCGACATACATCTCGACTTCCTTATAGATCATATCATGCAGCAATGGGTGGCGGCTCGCTGATAAGTGGCCTTGGCGTTTTTCAAACCAAATGGCATGGCCCTGTAACAATACGTCCCCCGTGGTGTAGTAAATGCAATTTTTTCTCTGTCCTCTGGAGCCATAAGGATCTAATTATACCCTGAAAAACCATCTAGTAAGGCATGCCCTGCAGTGAAGTCTACCAATTCATCAATATGTGGCAAAGGAAAGTCATCTTTCGGACTAGCCTTGTTCAAATCCCGAAAATCAACACACCCTGATTCTGCCGGCTTTCTTCGAAACTGGCACAATGTTGGCTAACCAAGTCAAATACTCGGATACAAGCAAGAACTCGGCATTGATTTGTTTAGTACCCTCTTTGATTTTTAGTGCCCAATCCGGACGAATTCTGCGAAGCTTCTGTTTGACAGGTCAGGCATCCGGATTAAGAGGGATCCGATGTTGTACAATCTCATGATCAATTCCAGACATATCTTCGTAAGACCACACAAAAACATCTTTGAATTCCTTTAATAAAGCAACTAATTGCTCGCATTCCTCCGAAGATAAAGTAGAACGAATCTGGACTAAGCGATGATCCTTCTCAGTACCCACATTAACGGAAACAATTTCATCAACCAACGGCTTAGCACGCCTTTCTTCCTCCCAGTTGATTAAGTTTTTCAAAGCCCAAGGAATTCCTTCCTCTTCGTTTTCATCAAAATTTTGAAAATTCTGGTCAATGCTATGAACTATAGGCACAGAGAAGTAAGCAGAATTCACATCATCTTC